TGTGACCATTATATTTTATGGCTTCAGATTTTACAGACAAATCTTTGATTTATTTTGAAATAATTTTTGTAAAATAGTCTAAATTCATCCTTTTGTATATGCCTGCCCAGTTTTCCTAGCATTATTGGTTGAATAGATTTTCCATTTTATGGTTGGATTCCATTATTGTAAATAAACTGTCATTGTAATTATAGGTTTATTTCTGGATTTCCAGTTTTATTCTGTTGACCTGTATGTCTATTTTTTATTTCAATACCATACTGTTTTGTTACTATTTCTTTGTAGTATAGGTAATACTATACTGTTTTAGTTACTATTTCTTCGTAGTATAGTTAGAAATCTATTGGAAACAATACTTATGTTCCTTTTTGGTCATGAATCCTTTTACTATTTGGAGTTTTTCAATTTCATACAAGTCTCAGTAGTGTTTTCTCTATTTCCTTGAATAAAGCTGCTGGAATTTTGTCTTCATTAAATCTGTATATTGCTTTAAGTAAGCTGGCCACTTTAATTAAGCATGTTTATTCTTCTTATCCACAAGTATATGCTAACTTTACATTTCCTCTGTCTTTCACTTCTTTTTATCATGTCTCACAGTTTTTGTTGTCTAATTCTTTCACCTTCTTAGTTAATTGCTTGGTACTAATTATTTCTTGGTGAAATTTTAAGTAAAATTGTTTTCTTGATTTTTTTTTTCTCTTTTATGTGTTGTTAGAGTAAAGGAATATATTGGTCTCTTGCTTCTGGATTTTGTAGGCTGCCATTTACTAACTTTCTGTTTCTAATCATTTTTAGTAAAATCTTTAGGATTTTCAATGTATATTATCATGTTATCTAAAATAGTGATTATTCAGCTTTTCCAGTTTGGATTCCTTTTATTATATTTTCTTTCCTAATAGCGCTTGCTAGGACTTTCAAACAAGGTTGAATAATAGTGGTGAGAGTCGACATCATTGTCTTATTCTTAATAGAAGAGGAAAGGTTTAGTTCTTCACCATTGAGTATAATGTGAATGTCAGTTTGTCATGTGTCACCTTTATTATCTTGCGATATGTTCCTTCTTACCCAATTTTATTAGGAACTTTCACTAGAGAGGGATATTATATCATAATATTGTTTTCTCTCTGTTGATTTGATACAATTTTTTATCTTTTCCTTGCTAATGTGGTTAATTACACTGATTTGTGTATATTGAACTATCCTTGAATGTCTGGTATAATTCTCATTTGGAAGTGGTGTTTGCTCTTGTTAATGTATTGTTCAATTTGGCTTGCTAAGATTGTTTTAAGGATTTCAGCATCTGTGTTGATCAGGAATAGTGGTCTGTAATTTCATTTTTTGTGATTTCCTACTCAACATTTGGTATCACTTTAATTTTGATGTCATAAAGTGCAGATGAATACTCTCTTCAGTATTTTAGAAGACCTTGAAATAGGCACTTAATTGTCTTTGAAGGTTTGGTAGAACTCACTGGTGAAACCTATTTTACTTTTGGGGTCTAATGGAGACTTCTGATTCCTGTTTGAATTTCCATGCTCAAAATTAATCTGCTTCCTATTTCATCCAGATTCAATCTTTTGAGGTTGTGTAATACTAAGAATTTGTCCATTTCTTCTACAGTTTCTATTTGTTGGCATAAAGAGATTCAAAATAGCCTCTTATGATCTGTATTTCTGTGATATCAATTGTAACTTCTCTTTCATTTCCAACTCTGTGTATTAAAAGTTTTCTTTCTCTCTTTTTCTTTTTCTAAGTGAGCCTCACTAGATGTCTCTCTGTGTTACTTATCTTTTCAAAGAACAAACTCTTAGTTTCATTGATATTCTGGTACATCACTTGGCTCTTATCAAATACTGTTGTATTTACTTATTTAGCTCTTCTAAAGAACTATTTTTTTTTTATTATTTCCTTTCTTATACTAGCTTTTGGTGTTATTTGTTTCCTTTTTTTTTTCTTTTCAGTTCTTTAAGTGTTAAATTGTTTATTGTTTTGTAACCCAACATCTGGTCTCTCTTCAAGAATATTCCTTGTGCACTTTTGATGGGACGGTGTTGGGACATAGCATGCCTATCATTATCTAGTATATGCATCTTGTCTAGTTCTTCAATTAAAGCTGTTGCTCCTTAGTGATGTCCTGTCTGGTTGATCTGTTCATTTATTTAAATGGGATGGTGAAGCCCCCTACCCCCATTTTGTTGCCATCAACATCTGTTTTTAGGCTTGTTCATAACTACTGTACATATTTTTATACTCTCTTTTCTTGAGTACATATATATTGATAAGTGCCATGTACTCCTGATGCATTGCTTCCTAATCATTTTTTTTTATTTTTTTTAATTTTTTTTAAAGATTTATTTATTTGTACATATAGAACTGGGGTACAGGCCAGAGGCTCAGGGGCGGTGAGAGGCTTCACCAGAGACAGAGTGGGGAACAGAACAGGCAGATCGACAAAGTACACTACTGAGGGGAGCAGCGGGCGGGTCAGGAGAGGTCTGCCACACCATGTGGGCTCCTCCAGGGCAGGCAGGAATCGAACTCATGCGGAAGTGGCTTTAGATATTCAGTGCAGTGCTTTAACCCGCTGCGCCACCAGGGAGGGCCCCCTAATCATTTTTTAATGACCTTCCCTGTTACCTTTTTTATCAGGAAGTCTTTTTTATTCTATGTAACTATCTCTGCTTTCTTTCTTTTTTTTTTAAGTATCATTTTTTTTGTAGAATTATTTTCCAGCATTTTATTTTAAACCTATATTTATCCTTAGACTCAGATGGTTCTCCTAAAGATAGCAGAAAGTTAAGGATTTGATTTCTACTCCAACTAGTGCCTTTTGTTTGTTGAATTTAGATCATTGATATTTAGGAAATTAGCTCTTGCAAAATGGATTTAGAGATGAATTCTTTCAACTATTTGTGTTTTCTAAGCTTTTGTCTCTCCTGAAACTCTGAGTGTTAGCTAGCTGGTTAGAGGAGTCTTAGTTGGAGATTTTTTCCCTTTTTATATAATGAATACATCATGCTATTTTTCCTGTGACCAAAGCTTCTAGAGAGTAATATGTTGATAGCTTTATGGAAGTTCTCTTATATGTGACTTTGCTTTTTTTTTTTTTTTTTCCTGGCTGCTTTTAGGATTCTCTATGCTTACTTTTTGCTATTTTATACATTTTATATTGGTGTATATTTTTCTGGTCTATTTTGTATGAAACTTTTCCTGTATCTGAATATATATTTTTTGTTTGTTTTAACCAGTTTGGTAAAGTTCTAATCTATTAGTTTTTTTGTAAACAGGATTTCTGCCCTTTCATCTCTCTTTTCCTTCTTGGAACCCCAATGTGTGAATATTATTTTTCTTGATGCTGTGCTGTGGATCTCTTCATTTGTTTTTATTTTTCTTTTGTTGTTGTTGTTGTGCCAGTCTAGTTGGATGATTTTCTCTATACTATATCCATCTCATTGATTCATTCTTCAGCCTTGTTGAATCTATTGGTGAATACTTCTACTGTATTTTAAGTTAAACTAGTGAATTTCATTCCTTACTCTGTGACTTCTGCTTAGAACTTTTTCATATTTTCTCCTTTCGTATTTCTCTTTTTAGTTAGCTATTCTCAAAATTCCAATAAGCATTATTAAAACTATTGCTCTAACTTCATCTGCTGGTAGTTTGGTTAATTCTGTTGTATTAGGGATTTTTTCACAGCTTTTAATCTTGATCAACTCTTTCTGGTAAATTGCCGTTCCTCTGTCTCCTCATTCTATTTGGTGCTCCATGATTATTTATGTAGTTAAACTTGGCTTCTACCCTTCCCAGTCCTGCTGTGACAGTCTTGCCTTGGAATTATAAGTTACAGGATATTGGCTAAGGTTGTTGGCCTTGGATGCTGGGCTTTCTGTTGTTGCACTGATTGAAACCAATCAATATGGCCAGAGCTCAAAAACCAGTACAAGGTGATAGTTCAAAAACATAGCCTACAGGGAGATCACCAGAAATGTTGGAACGTGGAGGTGTTGGCAATAGATTGCCTAGGGTGTAGGCTTCTTTGATGCTGCAGCCACCTGAGCAGAGAGAAGGACCTGACAATTACTATCAGATCAACAGACTCTCAGTGATGTTCTCTCAGAAGCCACAAACTGCAATTGATCTTCAATGATAGCCTAGTTCTGACCTCCGTGGGTTTTGCTGGCAGTGCCTTTCCTTTGAAGCTGGGAGTCAAAGAAAGTGGCTAGAAATTTGGGGGTTAGGCACCATTGTAAATCACAAATTTTGCAATAAATAATTAAATTGTTCAGCTAAGTTCAGAAAAGGGAGAGGCTGGTTCCTTTTTGACTGCCAATATAACCATCAGCAACCCCAATCTGCAGCATTTACCTGATTACAGCAGGCTAGAAATCAAAGAGACACCCTGGATGGTAAGAAGGGGGAGGGTCAGTGCCTCTCCGAAAGCCCCAATATTGTTCCTAGTGGAACAATTTCTCAGGTTTTCCTGCCCTTAGTCATCTCTGTGACACTTTTTGTGGAGATACTGATCAAGTCCTCAGTTCCCTTCCCCTTGGAGTTCTCAGTTCTTAACTCCCTCATACTGATCCACTGGCCTTGTAGAGGAAGATATGACTCGATGCTAGCCTACACTATTAGATGCTGTCTCCTCTTTAAGTTTAATATTTATTGTTTTCAAATATTTACAGATTGGGATTCTCTAAATCTCACTTGTTGACATGCCATTAATCTCATGATCTGTTACTGGTCTAATCCATCTCTTGAAATAGTGCCAGTTGAGGGTGCCAAAATAGCTCAGTTGGGAGAGTGTTAGACTGAAATAGTGCCAGTGACAAGTGATAATAACATCTAAAAAGTATGGTTTTGGTATCTTTATAATAATCACATGTGTTTACATCTTAAGAAAATAAATTTGAGCTGTATTTTCTTTTAAAGTTTTTCTAATCAGCATTAGTTTATCAAATAGTAAATTTATTTTGTTAATATGTTTAATTCCCTCTAAACAGAGCCACCTCATATTAATGGATCTGAAGAACCTATAGAGATCTCAGTGATTATTAATAATCCACTTGAACTTACTTGCATTGCTTCTGGAATCCCAGCTCCTAAAATTACCTGGCTGAAGGATGGACGGCCCCTTCCACAAATGGATCAGATGCAAACTCTCGGAGGAGGCGAGGTTCTCCAAATATCTAGTGCTCAGGTAGTTGTCAAAGTCCATTCAATTATTTTGCCCTAAGTTACACTTCCCACTTGCTAATATATAAGAAACATTGGCAAATTTATGCCTTTATATATTAACATATCATATATTTCTGTGTCTTTGTCAAGGGTACATTGCTTCTGTGGCATGCATGTTTAGGTAAACATGAGGTAACATGTTTATGATAAATGGAAGTGAAGTGCATTTTATTAAACTCTGAAAAAAACAAGATACCTCCCTTCACATTCATTTTTGCAAATGTTCACAATGCTGTGTTATTTCCTTATGCTCTTAATTTATACCATGTAGTCTTCTGTAAAATATGCAAAAAGCAAACCAATATACATAGGCTCAAAAGTACTTCTCTCTAAAAAACATAAAAATCTGAAGAGACAAATTGCTTCAAACAATGATCAATTCATTAAATTGTGGTTTTTTTTAGTTCACATTTTAAAGAATTAATCTGAAATTGAATATATTAGAGAGTGATATATCTCAAATGACTTCCTGTCACAGTCTTTGGTCCTACTAACAAAGGGAGAAGTTATAGTACAAATATTCTCCATCTGTGCCTTAAATCTTGTTGTCTATAAACTATGGCTAAAAATAGTAATAACACCAAGCTCTGATACTTGGAGATTTAAAGAGATCTTTTAAGATGAAATGCTACAAGCAAGTAGTGATGCTTAAATTGAATTATTGACGAAATTGAATAATTGTTGCTATTGCTCTTATCATAGTCATCATTCTTTTAAATACAGACTAACAAGTTATTAAATAATATTTTGTGTTCATTTTCATTGAAAAAAAATGGGGTGCCACAAGGGAGGCCCCATGAGAAGGAACTTGTAAAAGAGGTCTAAGAATTTCTAATTTTCTACTTTGTCAGTATTGTTGTCAGCTCTGAGATATGCCATGTCTATAACCCTCACAAAGACTTTGTAAAGGCAGAGTTTTTACCCACATTTTATACATCTGCAAGTAAGCATAGAGACTCAGCACACCCTTGTCAATTAAGCTTTGCTCAGTGGTGGAGTTAATCTCAGTATTTTGATTCAAAAGCCTACCCAGCAGAATCCAACTCAATTCTTGTGTCTAACATTAAAGAGAATATACCTTCTATCCTCCTCTTTATTCTCCAACAAACATCACAGTAACTCAGAAAAAACTTGGTTTAACTATCATACCATTTGCTGAATCAAAATCCTTTGATGTTTCAATTTCTCTGTCAAAAAGGAAGTAGAATTTTTTAAATTCATTTATTATTTATGCACAGAAGAACTGGGATTGTAGGCCAGAGATGCAGGAGGTAAGAAAATTAACTAGAGATAGAGTGGGGCATAGAACAGGTAGATTTACACTGCTTAGGGGAGCAGTGGATGAGACAAGAGAGGTCTGCTGTGCCATATGTGGGTCAGTTCCCCGGTCAGGGATCAAACTCAGACCTTCACAGAGATAACACTAAGACTTAACCACTAGGTCACTCTTATAACAAATATTGTATTATACTTTATTAGAAACTTTGTCTTTAGCATATTATCTATAACATTCAGTCATATCTGGCAGATAAAAGATGCTTTGTGAATTCCAAGTTGTATGGTAAAGACCAAAGTTTCCTAAAACACATTCCATCAGATACTAGTTCTGTGACTTATTCCAATGGGGGGAAATTTCTATAAACAAATAGATGAACCATAATGCATATCAAGAAGTCTGAAAAATCTTAGTCCAAAGAAATCTAACTCTGATTTTTCAAATACTCTGTTAACATAGCACAATTTAGGAAATGTAGTTACAAATAGTGATTGTCAGGATCCAAAAGGATTTAAGTTGTCAAGAAATATTTCTTGAAGAAGGAAAGATTTGAGTGGTCATGAATGATGGCTTCACTTAGGTTAAGTCAAAACAATAGAAGGGCCAAGATCAGTCAGAGATGAGCTGCGTTGGTAGAGAAAAGTTGACATTTAGAGGTTTCATCAGATATGATGCGAAATTCAGAAATTATTCTCTAGGCAATGATACATCGTTTTTGAATTCTTAGTTGACGGACTGTGTGAAAGTCATTCCTCTAAAACTGTACTTAACTATTTTTCCAAACATGAAGTCATAAATTTTTTCAAAGGAGTTTCTGCAGCTTACCAGAAAGTTTTTCCGTAACCTATAAAGTTAGTTTTGAATGAACAAATTTAAGAATTCCCAATATTCTAGGAATGTTCTAGTAGTAAAATAAATGAAAACATAATTTTTCTACTTTTCCAAAATACATTTTTATAGAAAAAAGATCATCTGTTTTCCAGAGTATACTTTATACAGACATAAGCATGATTAGTGTCTCCACAATGTCCACTTTCAGTGGAAACTATGCATAGAGATTTTTCAGAAATGTTTCTGCTTTCACTCATAGATTCTGCAGTCAGGTTGACTATTTATGATCAAATTTCATAATACAGCCCTTTTGTTTCATTAAGTATGTCAAAAGGTAGATTAAAAATGTGGACTTTTTTATTGCATATATCTTTTTTTTTTTTTCAGAATGATTCCAATTAAAACTTTTCAGTCTACAGTTTAACTCATAAATACGTATTCCTTCAATAAACATTGAATACATATTATATTATGTATGGTGCTAGGTCCTGTATATCTTTGTCTTTTCTGAAATCATTAAATATATATAACATGCAAAAAGTCAAATGAAACACATAAATTCTGTTTAAGCATTGATTTATGTGTAATAGAGATAATAAGCAGTACTCAACTTTGGAGAGCTCATTAATTATAAAATGTTTATAAATTTTTAGTTATTGGGCTCTCTTAAAGAGATTTTTGTATGCATACTAGTGTAGGTATTTATTCTCATTACCAAAACCTATGTGTTAGTATTGCATCATTCTCTTATTTGGATTTTGTAGGTGGAAGACACAGGAAGATATACATGTTTGGCTTCCAGTCCTGCTGGTGATGATGATAAAGAATATTTAGTGAGAGTGCATGGTAAATTTGGCAATATGTCCTGCAACCTATTGACATTAATACTGATGAGAGTCTATAAGATATGGAAGATGGACTTTCCCATGGCACACTAAGGCTTTATCCAAAATGACTACATTTTCACAATTCCTTCCAATAGTGCAACATCTGAGTTTTTCTGAGTTTTCTGTTCTCAAAATAGCAGTAAAATTTCAAAACTAGAAGAAAATTTTAAACATCTATAATTTCATCACACAGAGACAATTTTGTACATAAAGTGTTTAATCACAGAAATGTAATCATACAGCATATGGAAATTACTTTTATTTCACTTAATAGTATAGTGAACATGTTTTCAGTCAAAAATCATATTTTTATTTATAAACTATGTTTTAGTAATTGCCTAGTGTCCTCTCTTAGGAATATGCTATCATTAATTTAACTCCTTCCCTGTTTTTGAATGTTTAGGCTCTTTATTTTATTAAATATAAGGATTACTGCTATTGCTACCTTTGTCCATGTTGTCTTACCCTTTATTTTTTTCATTTTCTGTAATATACTTTATTTGATTTTGTAAGTACACACATATGCACACGTGTATGATTTTTGAAATTTATTGCTGTCACCTTCTAGAAAAGTTGGACCAATAAGACTCTGGCTGACACTATTAGTCATAAGCATATATTTATGGACAGGAACATTTAGAAAAATTAAAGATTTTTTAATTCATTCGCATAGCCTAAATAACTAGACAGTGAAAACTGTGACTTAAGTGCCCACCTCCCTCTAATTCCATACACCTGTGTTTAAACCTGCCATTATTTGGCATGAGAGTTGTTTAAGGAGTCAAATTTTAGAAATTACGTTTCAGCATATGAAGAGAAATATATACATGTCTCTATATTATGATAAAAATATCCTATTTAGCAGTTTTAAATATAATGTTTTGAGAAAGTGATTATCAATTGTAGAAAAAGGACAAGGAATCCCTTCTTTGTGTTATACTTTCTTTACCTGTTAAATGGTGATAATCATGTTGATTATATTACTTATCCTATCATTCATGTGACTCTTGGAAAAATTTCACTGTTTAATGTATGTGAAAGTACTGAAATAAGGTGAAAAAAATAACTTACTTGTAATCATTTGTATTATAAATTAAATGACTAATATCTTAAGTTTATGACTCTTATACAACAGAAGCAGCATGTGTAGAATACCTGTAATAATCCAAATCTTTACCTCTTATTTATTGAAAACCTTCGATTTACTTGTTCTTGTACCCAGTGCCCCCGAATATTGCTGGACTTGATGAGTCCCAGGATTTCACTGTGTTACAGAACAGACAAGTGACACTGGAATGCAAATCAGATGCAGTCCCCCCACCTGTTATCACCTGGCTTAAAAATGGAGAGCGATTGCAGGTAAGTCATGATAATTTTGCATACTGTTTTTGAGGAAAAAATATCAACTGAGGAATCTTTGCTAGGTAGGCAAGATCAAACAACCTCAGGTAGTTGGTTCAGCATTCACCAATTACTCACCATTTCAAGGGTGGGTGTTACAGGATCCTTTATTTTTTCTTCCAGCAAAGCAATTATTAAAACTTTAATAATACAAGGTAAGATTAGCATGGCCCCTTCACAATGCATGTAAATTTATGACACAGTCTTCATATGTATCCCACTCATATTTATTTTTATTTTTTTATATATCTACTTTCTCTATTTGTCTATATTTTATGTCAGGCTTAGCCCCATGGAATTTCCACCACCACTTCACCCATGCGCCATTACCTGAGTCCCACTGTGCTCTTTCACCCCCTTTTATATCCTTACTCTCCCCACCGAATATCTCTTATTTATAGTTGTCTGATTATTTTTGTTTAGTGATGCTGTATTGCTTTTTAAAATCGTTATTATTTTTTCCCTGACCCCTTATCTGGTTTCCCTACACTCCTCCTATAAGTAAAACATTCAATATTTTTCTTTTTCTTTCTGACTTATTTCACTGAGCACAGCCCCTTCTACCTATGTTGCCAGGAATGGCATTAAATTATCTTATCTTTTGTTTGTTGTTGAATAATATTCCACTGTGTGTATATATGCCATGTCTTCTTGATCCACTCATCTATTTTTGGGCATCTGGGTTGTTTCCAGGTAGTATTGTAATAAACATAGGGGTGCATGTATCCTTTTGAATTAATGTTTTTGTGTCCTTTGTGTAGATGCCTAGGAGTAGAATTGTTGAGTTAAATGGTAACTCCATTTTCAGTAATCTGAGGAATCTCCATACAGCTTTCCATATATGCTGTACCAGTTTGCATTCCCACCAGCAGTGTAGGAGTGAAGAAGCCCTAATTAGAGTCTCAAAGAAGTGACCTGTTCTATCTAGTCGTTAGGCAAACCTCTGATTGAATTTCCTTGTTTAATCTTAGACCTCAGAAGTGACCCCATGGATCCCTGTAATGCCCTTTGCTATCATAAATCTAGGAGTGAAATCCCTTTTCTTGCTCTCTGAAGCTTCTCAAATACAAGTCTTTACTATCTGCTGCCAGAAAGTACCACAACACAGGATCCTAAGTTGCTTTTTAGGCTCAGTATTGACTTTGAATCCTCTGATTGTTGTTGTTATCCTAGTAGTTATTTATTCTTATAATTATTATAATCCTAGTAGTTATTTATTCTTTATTTTTATAATTTTCTTATCCTAGTAGTTATTTATTCTTCTATTTTGTTACTCTGTGCATGATTATAAAAATTAGATTATATCCCTTAACACATGCAACAGAATGTCTTACACCATTGCCAAACCACATCAAATACAGAAAGTCTGAGTTCTTATTTCCAGAGTTGCATGATCACTTAGCATGGAAAGGCATTGCTGTTGTTCTGGGAATTGTAAGTAGCTGGCTATGGCTGAATTAGACCTTAATTAAAATCCTTAGACAATTCCCCTAAATACCAGAATTTAGATTAAATTGCCTGAATTTCCCTCCAGAGTCTCATCTCCCATGTGTACATTTCATTCTGGGCCATCCATTGTTCAAACTGTGAATGTTCATGATGAAGTTTAGGCTAATCCAATATAAGCAAGTGATGACAATATTGAGCAGTTCACAAGTGAACTTTCTAATAAAAAAGAAAGTTTAGCTCATTTTTAGATACTTATAGTTAATTCACACTTATGCACATGGAGAGTCTAAAACACATTAAGAAATATGGGTTCGGCCCTCCCTGGTGGCGCAGCGGGTTAAAGCACAGCACAAAGAAGCTTAAGCCACTTTGGCATGAGTTCGATCCCCGCCTGCCCTGGAGGAGATCCACATGATGAGGCAGACCTCTCCTGACCCTCCCACTGATCCCCTCGGCAGTGTACTTCATTGATCTGCCTGTTCTGCTCCCCACTCTGTCTCTGGTGAATCCTCTCACCCTCCGCATCTCTGGCCTGTGCCCCAGTTCTGTACAAATAAATAAATAAATCTTTAAAAAAAAAAGAAATATGGGTCCACATTTTATGCTATAACTGTTGTTGAAACCATAATTTCTGTGAGGCTGATCAGAAAGCTCATAGTGTGAAAGGACCAGTAAATTAAAATAAATACTAATTTCAAAGGGAACATAAGAAGAGTAGGAGAATGCGGTGGAAAGGACTCAGAGAGCTAGGACTAAATGTTGGAGACATTAGTTTATAAGGCCAAGGAACAGACGGTATGGTTAAAATTGCAGTGAAATACAATTGAAGTTATATCCAATGCCTTTGACAATACATAAAAATTATTGAAGACCTGAGCAATGGTTCTTCAACAAAGTGACCAAAACAGAAGACAGTTATAATTGTTAGGGCAGTTAAGGAAGAAGAGAAAATGATGTAAGTATGACTGTTCTTTAAATATAAAATAATTTTACATGTTTATTTACTGATAGAAATTGAAGATATAGAAAAGAGTAAAGGAAATTTATAGGACAAAGTGTGTTGGATGGAATTAATTGGACCCTGGTCATAGGTGAAGAGTTTTGGACCAAAGATAGACCCTTTTTCATAGATATGGGGAAATAGAAAGGGAGGTTACAATTACATGCAAGATGGAAGGAGAGAGTTGCAGGCCCAAGAGTGGTTTTCTCAGTGGAGCAGGAAACTACTAGTAGTGGAACTATCACTATTCACAGATGGCTTGACACAGATACATAGAAATCCAACAGATGCTACTAAAAAAAAAAAAACTACTAGAAATTTAAGTGAATACAATAAGGCGGCTGGGTACAAAATCAGTATACAATACTCTGTTACATTTCTATTCAAAATAAATCGAAAAAAGAAAATTTGAGAAAATAATCCCACGTATAATCACACCATAAATGATAATAATATACCTAAGGTTAAACTTAACAAAGGAGGTAAAGGATCTATGCAATGTAGGTTATAAGACACTGTCATAGTAATAAGACACAAAGAAATAGAGCAATATCCTGTGTTCATGGATTAGAAGAATAAACATTGTTAAAATGGCCATATTATCTAAAGTAATATATAGATTCAATGTGATACCTATCAACATCTGAATGACTTTTTTTCAAGGAAATCAACAATTACAAAATCGTATGTCACCACAAAAGAACCACATGTCAAAGCAATACTGAAATAAAAGAAAAAAATCACACTTCAAAACTTCAAATAGGAGTACAACTATGCTGCAAATGGGATTACAGTATGGTATTGGAATAAAAAATAATACATAAACACAGATCAATCAAATAGAATTTAGAGACCAGAAATAGAACAAATATGGGCAGTTAGTTCTTTGACAAAGCAATCATGTCCATATGTTGGAAAAATGAAAGTCTCCCCAATGAATGGTGTCACAAAAATAAGAAAACACCTTGATCATTACTTAATTCCATAAATAAAAATTAATTCAAAATGATTTAAAAACTTAGCAGACCTGAAAACTTAGAATACATAAAGAAAAAAATATAAAAATATGCATATGTACTAAAGGGGTTTGGGCTAAGAGGAGGGTATAAATGAGAAAAGGTAAATAGAGTTGAGCACTGGGGCTTTGCTAAAAAGTGTATGAAGCATTTGCATACAGGAGTATGTGATATGGTACTCTTCACATTATATAGACATGTAAATGACTGACAAGTCAATAAAATTTGAGAAAAAGTATAAAAGGATAACTGCTACTTCTGACTTAACCAAACTTAACTTATTAGATTTCAGGTGTCACAGAATTCAGACTAAGATCACCCTAACTGAAAAAGAGTTTTTTTTTTTTTTTTTACTTTAGTAATTGGTAAATAGACTCTAGTCATTACTGGACCCAGAGGCTAAAATCATATCAAGCCACTGGGCCCAAATGTCAACTCTGCCACTTGGTCTAAGATTCAGACCAGGCCGTCCCCAAATGGTGATAAGGCTGCCATCAGGCTTGTGGATTCCAAGAAAAAAGAACATACGTTATTCTCCAGCACTTTCAGCAGAAGTCCTGAAGAGGGTCTACTTGCCTTAACTTGAGTCATCTTTCCTTTCTATCGTGGGTCACAGGCCTGGAACATTGATTGACCCTTTGCTTTTAACCACACCATAGAAATAATTCCCAATGGCTTTTGATACTGGGGTATTGGTAGGAGAAGCAGACAAAGAATACTTGAAGATAGGTGCCCTACAGTTAAATGTAGTTATTTTCAATGTTATAAAGTGATATTTTATTCCCTTTTCTGAACATTTTAATGGTGTATTATACTTACTGAATCCAGGCAACTCCTCGTGTACGAATCCTGTCTGGTGGGAGATATTTACAAATTAATAATGCAGATCTAAGTGATACTGCCAATTATACCTGTGTTGCCAGCAACATTGCAGGAAAGACTACAAGAGAATTTGTTCTCACTGTAAATGGTAAGAAAAATTAATCATTTTTTCACAATTTAAAGCTGTAGTCAAGAGCGTTCAAAGCGATACCTTTGGTTTTTATGAACATTCTAATGAATTCCCATGCTTATCTTATTTCTTTTGAAAAAGTAGTATTTCTATTATAGCTATATTCAAACTAACTCAATTTCAAAGAAAAATTATTTTGGAGGATGACATATGTCCAGTTGTTACCATAATATTCTAGTATTTGTGTCATTCAGATCAGAGCCATTGAGATTTCTCATCACATCCCCCTGTAAGTGTCTGACCTCACATCAGAGCAGTTGAGGAATATCTGGATGACAAATGACCCATTTTTCACTTTCATTTATTTTTGTGTTTGAGTTTATAAGTACTATAAAGAGATCTCAGTAGGACTCTAAGTCTCATTTATATAAAGTCTAAATACTAAAATTTGCCAAATTCGGGGAAAATAATGCAGACTTTTACCAAAAACAATTATCTCTGGACTTTCAATATATGAAACTCCACAGGCTATGAAGTGACCCACACAGTGAAGATCCTCTAATACTAAAATTCTAGTTTTCTATTCCCATATGAGCTCAATGATTAATAAAATACATGCTCAGAGATTTGCATGATTAATCACAGATGCACTTTTTGCTATAGCAGTCCACTTTCTGTCCTTTACTTAAAGTGAAGTTCATCCAGTGTTAACATTCTCTAACCATTATTTGGCCAAAGAGTAATAAGAAATATCATTTTTAATTTGCATCAGACCAGAACTGATTTTTATTCTAGTTTCTCTCACAAAAAAAGCTAGATTTCACACACATCATGTCAGGGATGTAAAATTCCCTTCCTTCATCTCCTCTTTGTTTTTAAATTCTGAATATCTTGTATTAGACTGTAGGTATTAAACCACAATTCTACTTACAGTAAGCTAAATTAGCTGTAGGCAACGTTATATATTTGATGCAAAGCTTGCCTTGTACTACCTCTTTGGGAATGGTCTTTGTACAAACTATGTAATTAGTATAAATGAAGTTTTCCACATATGCCTCTTGTACAGTTCCTCCAAAAATAAAGAGTGGCCCCCAGAGTCTCGTCATTCACTTAAATAAGTCTGCTGTCTTGGAATGCTTTGCCGAAGGTGTGCCAGCCCCCAGGATAACATGGAGGAAGGATGGGGCTGTTCTGTCTGGCAATCATGCAAGGTAACAGTTCTGGGAAAGGATTATAAATACCCTAAGAACTGAAATATTAATCCTTACATCTTTTTTCCAATGTGTTATTTGGGGCTTATATTTAAAAATTGTTCTCTTCATCTTAACATAAGAATCAAAAGACAGTATTTTAAAAAGTATATTTTCTAAGATATCTAAAACATAATGTTTGTAATCCATCCAACACCTGCTCTAAACCTTTACATCTTAATTCTTTTCCCTTGCCCACCCAGAATGTTGTAAATATGTGTCATCTCAAGCAAGAAGACTAAAACCTGATGTACTTAAGTCTTTAAGTATGCTCTCAGTCAAATCTGAATAATCAGAAAAGTTGATTCAAGAGATTCCATTTGTGGTCTTTCTTATAGATGCTCCATCTTAGTTTTTCAGCTTGTCTTCGTCTACTAATTTAGTTACTTTGTATTCCACTAGATATTCCATCTTAGAAAATGGATTCCTTCATATCCGGTCAGCACATGTCACAGATGCGGGGCGATATTTGTGTATGGCAACCAATGTGGCGGGAACAGACCGCAGGCGAATAGATTTACAGGTCCATGGTAAATGTGCTTTTATAAACAATATCCACTCTTTGGGTAGGATGTGCTTTTGTAGCCTAAGCAAGTGAATTTATAGTCTTTGATATCCAAGACTACTTAAATGTATTGCAACGTAACATTACATTCCCAGTGGTCAAGTCCCACATTTTCCTCACCATGTATAACACATTCATAACACTATTTAATTCACACAGCTTTATTGTGTTGCTGTTTCTTTGTTTGCTTGTTTGTTTGTTTGTTTAAGATTTATCCATTTAATCTTATAAGAGCTAGGGTACAGCCCAGAGGTGGGAGGACTGAGAGGATTCACCAGAGTGGAGAGCAAAACAGTCAGAGCTACTGAAATACATTGCTGAGGGGAGCAGCTGGCAAGACAGGACAGATCTGCTGCAACATATGGGTCAGCTTCCTAGCTGGGACAGAACTCCTGCTGTACTGGCTACTGATAGCTCCTTAGTGAGACTTAACCCTTGCACCACCACCAGGGAGGCCCTATAATGTTCTTAACTGTGAGGCAAGTTCTGATGACTCATTTCTGCTTGGCACATGCTTTGCTGAATGTGTTCCCCTTTTATGTGGCGGCTTCTTTTAGTTGTTCCATCTATTGCGCTGGGTCCTACCAACATAACTGTCACCGTAAATGTCCAAACCACTCTGGGTTGTGAGGCTACTGGGATACCAAAACCGTCAATCATCTGGCGAAAAAATGGACAGCTTCTAAATGTGGATCAAAATCAGAATTCATACAGGTAAGGAATAAAATCATTGAAAAATCCCATCTACTATCCAGAAATATATTTTTAAAGAATTACAACTAGCAGTAGAAGTGGCAAGCATGTAAAAAAAATTGCTAGCAGGTAGTGTGTTAATATGGAATTCGTTTTCAACCTAAAATTTTTGTTCTGAATTATAGATGCAACTTGATTAGCTGTGAACATGGTGATTCGCTGTCAGCACGCTATAGAATTAGATCTATTTTTAATTCTTAAATACCTTGTACCATTTTATTTAAAAAACAGCAGATGAAAACATCATTGGGAATAAAAGAAAAACTATTCTGTCAAAATATATACAAGCTTTAGTCATATAATAAAAATCAAATTTTATATTTTAAAGTATAGCTTACGGACTTGGCAGCATGTAGGAGGAGAAAAGCAGAATTTTTTCTCATGTTTTTTACATTCCTTAGACTTTACTACCATACTTCATAAAATGATAGTATATATTTTCTAGAACGAAGATTTAAATCACTGGGAATTTCTGATGTTTTATGCAAGCATCATTTCTTCTATATCAATTAAATTAATAAATGTCAAAATATTTGCCATAGTGGTAAAATATGTTCTGCCACAGTGGTAAAATATGTTCTTACAGATCTACTGAACAAACATCAACTCTGATATGCCAGGAAATATGAAACTAGGAGTATTCCTTTTGACATTTTCTTACTTCTCCTTGCTTTTTTATTTTCTTGGCATTGGGTGTTAATGACTGAAGGTGTATACTATATGGGAAATGTGCATTGCCTTGGACAAAAATCATGTCTAATAGGTTCCCATTAAGTCAAATAATTTCCATTCTGTTAGCGCTTATTTTGAAGTAAGAAAATAGCTAGAGCTAGTTTTATCTAAGTGTATTTACTAAACTCCTAATCATTGGAAGTAATTCAGATTGCCTTAGATTTGCTTTGGTTACAAGTGTGCGGGGGTCCACATCTCCAAGGAGGCCAGTATATGTCAAGAGGCATGTGAAATTGAGACAGGTGTAAGACAAACAAACTTGTAAGTTACCTGTCTGTCACTGGGTATAATCAAATACCAACTTACACATCCGTTGTGAAATTTAGAGATCATTTATGTGATGCATTTGAGATGGTGTCAGGAGTATATTCAGTGCTCAAAGAACAGTGGCTATGACTGATGTGTTCATTGCTTTGTATCTTAGCTAGGAAAGCATGGCTAAATCATGCAGTCATAAAATGCACAAGTCCTTCAAATTATCCTTCCAGTCATTTCTGCAAATATCAAGAATGAGGCCCTATTAACCAATTTACTGCCACATGTGCTTAAAATTTGATACACCTAGTTTGTATGAGAGAAATGTTCATTTTTACATGAAGAGTCTGTTTCCCTCCATTCACAATATGGTACCATGTTGGGTCAACTGGAAACATTTTTTAAAAGGATAGTACTCCCATTCTCCCTTCTACCCCCATAAAATGTCTCTGGTTTATAGTTGCTCATTGTTTTCATTTTTACTCTACTACCTTTGTCTGTCTGTCTGTCTGTCTGTCTGTCTGTCTGTCTGTCTCTCTCTCTCTCTCTCTCTCTCTCTCTCTCTCTCTTTTTCTTTTCCCTGATCCCTTATGCTTCTGCTATGCGTGAAACCATCTGGTATTTTTCTTTTACTTTCTGGCTTATTTCACTAAGCATGATCTGGGGTGGGAAGAGTGCACTGGACTGTGGTGATGGCACATGGGTGAATTGGTGGTGGGAAGCCCATGGAGATTACAGCTGAGATGAAAAAATGCACAAAATGATGATGTAAAAAAATATATTAAAAAATAAAAATTTTAAAAGGATAGTACTTACTGCTTTAACATCTCTCTTCTAGGCTCCTTTCTTCAGGCTCACTGGTCATTATTTCCCCTTCTGTGGATGACACTGCAACCTATGAGTGCTCTGTGACAAATGATGCAGGAGAGGACACAAGAACTGTGACTCTCACTGTCCAAGGTAGATGTGGCTTAGTCATGGATCGAAAGTGATTACGATGATGTAATTTCATTGTTGCACTGCTTTACAAAGATAACTTCCTTTTCCACTTAACAAACACTCATTTTCACTTAGGAAAAGGAAAATGTCTTTGAAAAATCTCTGAAGGCTGGCAACCTGTGGTTTTCTTTCTTTGTGTTTCAGTACCACCTTCCATAGCAGATGAGCCAACGGACTTCCTAGTCACCAAACATACCCCAACAATACTTACCTGCACAGCCTCAGGAGTTCCATTTCCCTCAATTCACTGGACAAAAAACGGTATAAGACTGCTTCCCAGGGGAGATGGCTATCGAATTCTGTCCTCAGGTAAGACCAAGAACAAGTGCACACCTATTAATAATTAGATTATCAGTAGATACCTTGCCAAGTTTTCTCTTGCACTAAAAATAATAAAATACATATGTGTTCCTGGACTTAGGTATCTGGGAAAAAGTCCAGTTTGAATGGGGAAACTAGGGAAAGAAAGAGGGAATAAAATGTCTGGGGAAGAAAGAAATACCCATGTTTAAGATTCACCCGAATATAAGCATGATTGTTGGTATTTTATGTACGTAGTTACTAAACGCCAGGTAAAACAAATTATCTGGTGCCTTGAAACGAACTATGGTTTTTTCAATTGGCCAAATAGAATGCCTGTTTATTTAAATATCTAGTGACCAAAATAGGCTTTATGTCCGAATAAGACTGAGATATAAAGCTAAGACAGACTTCTTGTTTTTGAGGTTTTTATAATTTAGCACGTTAACTTGAGTGATAAATACTACAGTGGATATTTTTTGAGGGTGGTAGAAGTTATTGTTTATAAAATTTAAATATCAAAAATGTATAGTATGGCACAGAAAAAAACTAATTCACATAAATGAAAGTATAGATGACTCACACTGGTATTTCTGAAAATTCATCCTGCATTGGGGAGGATTGGTACACTGGAAATAAGTGAAATCTGCACATTCACAATTCTGGGGTATTTTGAGTGTATGTACATTATTCTAAACGAATTTATTTCTTCAAAAGAAGGGAAAGTAAAGATTTGCTCTCAGGATGGAATACTGTGAAGCAAAGTATTTTGATTATCTCAGAAATTTGTACAGATCTTTAGATCATAAAATTTCAATTATCTCTAGCCCAAAGCATTATTCTAAAGAAAAACATACTTTGGAACTTTCTCAAAATGTTTAACAGAGGAACAATATTACAAAGCAACTTCATTCCTAGATGTCTTACCCATGAGAAATGAAAACACATGTCCAAGATTTATATGCAAATATTCATACAGTATTATTCACAACAGAAAAATGCATAAGCAATTCATGTGTCCTTCAGCTGGAAAAACATAGGCACATCCTCGTAATGAAGATCTCTTTAACAGTGAAATAAAATAAAATACTGACACATACTACAATAGATGGAACCCACTAAGGTACCCACAGGAAAAGAGTGAAACGCGAAGATTTCTGTATAATTCCATTTATGTGCAATTAGACTAATCTAGAGAGATATAAAGTACTTTATCGTTACCTAGGACTGGGGTTGGGAGTAAGGAGTAGCAGTTGATAGGATAAATTTTCTTTTGGAGGTTATAGAGATACAAATTATGTTGTGTGATAGTTGCACAACTCTGTGAATATAACTAAAAAACATTGAATCATACATTTAATGAATGAATTTTATGACATGTAAAGTGTACCTCTATAAAGCTGTTAATAATATTTTTTAAAAGCACTATGCTAGGACCTTAAGGGAATACAAGTATGAGTGTAGGAAAAAGTATGCCTGTCAGTCAAGTACAAAAGTCTCATGGGGACAAAAACACAAAGGTGAGACTTAGTTTATTGGGGAAAAAAATAAGGATGCACCATACATTAAAAGGTTTTGTTATATTGTTGTTGTTGTTTTAGGAGCAATTGAAATATTTGCTACTCAGTTGAACCATGCTGGAAGATATACCTGTGTGGCCAGGAACGCAGCTGGTTCTGCACATCGGCATGCAACGCTTCACGTACAGGGTATGGAAGGTTATTTAGTGATAAAAATCTTGCTGCTGTTTTTAAGTTATGCTTATTCTTCAAAAGCAGAATTGTCTAGAGCTTGAACTACAGTAATACCATAAGTCTGGTAGATATTCTTCAGACTAAAGATCAAACAGATGACAAACCACACTGAACATCCCCTCAATTAGTTTTCTTCTTGAATTTTTATCATCTGTTCCTGCTTCTGAGTTCTTCTAACAGCATTTAAATGAAAACTAAATACTCAAAAAATGTCATATGGCTCAGATTCACTTTTCCCTTGGGCAATCAAATCAGTAATATTTTAGAATTATGAGTTTAGGCATACTTAATTTCATGATGACAGTAGACATTTTGGCCTTTAACTAGTGCCATTGCTTATTTCTGTTCAATGGTTTTTGCAGAGCCTCCAGCCATTCAGCCTCAACCCAGTGAATTAGATGTCATTCTAAACAATCCCATTTTATTACCATGTGAAGCAACAGGAACACCCACTCCTTTCATTACTTGGCAAAAAGAAGGCATCAGTGTTATCCCTTCAGGTACTGCCCACTGTTTCTATCAAGCAGATCTTAACAAATCAGTTTTTTATAACTGGGAGTAAAACAAGACCTTTTCTAATGAAAATAAAATGTCTTCCTTCTCTGCTTTTATAATTGTGATGTAGGCAACAGTCGGGCAGTTCTCCCCAGTGGCGGCCTGCAGATCTCCAGAGCTGTCAGAGAGGATGCAGGTTCTTACATGTGTGTGGCCCAGAATCCCGCTGGGACAGCCTTGGGCAAAATCAAGTTAAATGTCCAAGGTACCCAAATCACCAAATTCTATGATTTTTATTACAAAGATGCTTGTAACAATGTATGCCAAAAATTCCTATATCTTTAACAATAATGCTTCCATAGTTATCTAAATTTTATGCGCATTATCCTATTTGTTTTAATCACCCTTGGGAAGATGTTTGTTGTTTGTATTACTTTCCTATTGAAGTATAACATTGCATTTTAACATGATATAAGTTTTAGTTGTGCATCATTATAAATCAAGATTTGTGTATAATACATAAACTTCACCACCAAATGTTCGCTTCCATCCTTCACCATACAGTTGACCCCTTTAAACTGATTTATTCACCCCTTTTTACTCTTTTCTTCTAGTTACCACTAATTTGGTCCTATAGTCTAACACTTTATTTTTTTAAACTTAGTTCATTTGTTTGTTTTATTTTTCTATGTACCACATATGAATGAGTCAAATCATTTTTTTTCTCCATCTGGTTTGTTTCAGTGAGCATAATACCCTCCAGATCCATCTAGGTTGTTGTGTATGGTAGGATTTCATCTTTTATTGATATCTGAGTAGTATGCCATTGTATAGATAGTTCATTCTGTTTGAGTGGGGATTTTTTGTTTGCTTTGTTTTGTTTTTAGTATGGCATAAAAAAATAAGACATCTCATATTTTGAAATGCAATGAATCTTTGATGGTACTCTGTTTTATCATAGTACATATTTAAGGTGATTTTTGAGTCCTTATTTCATACCCTACATTAGTTCAATATGAAATACAAGATTGCATATCCACTGATTAGAAAAAAAATCATAATTGCATATAAGTTAACTTGATGGGGGAAAAATCTGGAGACAAAAGCAGGGATTTTTTTCACATTTAACTAATATTTTCTTGATACAATTTTTATTTTCTAATCTTTAAAAATTTGAGCTTTATTCACAATAACTCTTACATGAAGTTGGGAAAAATAATTCCTATGCAATCCATTGATATAATTTCAGATATTACATGCATTGCTTTTATGAGTGAAGAAGTCATTTTTAAAGGTTCTCAGATTCTGAATTTGCATTAGTTGATTTTAAATTTCCTGACAATTTGATCCTGTGGTAAATTAATGACTATAGTAAAGCTCATCTGGAAATTTATGAATCTTATTTCTTTGTAATCTGCAATCTTTATTCAACAACTGAGTGGGATAATAAATAAAAATATATTGAATATTTCAAACATGATCCTTCCCTATGGTGTGGAAGAAGGGAAATACTAAACTATCAAATAAATGAAATAATTTTAAATTGTGATATGTTATGCAGAGGAAAAACTAAACAATGAAACGGAGAATAGTGGAAGATGTGGAACCACTTAGATTAGTAATTAAAATAGACTTCTTTGAGGGGGTACAAATTAAGCTAAAGCCTGAATATGAGCTAAGATAAGCCATGCAAAGTGGCAGAGTATCCACTCTGTTGTACAGTGGCCCCCAGGAAGGAAAGAGTAGCAAAAGAAGCACGTAGCAGGGGTAGACAGTGGTGAATATGGGAAAGACTGGGAAATATTTATATAAGAAGGTAGGGCCAGAGCATGGAAAGCCTAAAGAATCATAGGAAGGCTAGCTTTCATTCTCTGTACAGTGGGAAACCCTGTAAGGGTTTAACCAAGATTCTGTTTTGCTTTTATCAAAATTTCTTTTGCTGTTCCTATCTGAGACAGGAGCTGGAAGAGTTGTCTAAGTCCTCTGGATTTTGTGTTTTGGTCTAGCTGGAGTAGAGGTGGGCATATGGATTGCAGAAGTGAATAAGAAAATTGATGGATTGAAGATATTTTTGGAGATGTAATTGTCAGGATTGCTGATGGATCAAATTTGGGGGGTTAGGAAAAGAGAAATAGTGTCTCCTAAACTTTGAACTTGAGCTAATGAATGAATGATAGTATCATAGGGAAATACAGGAGAAAGAACTGGTCTTAGAGGAAGAAAATCACAATTTTTTAGAAAAAGATTTATGTATTTATGCATACAGAACTGGGGTACAGGCCAGAGGTACAGGAGTGGTGAGAGGATTCACTAAAGACAGAGTGGGAAGCAAAACAGGCCAACTGATGAAGTACACTGCTAAGCGGGGCAGCAGGCAGGTCAGAAGAAGCCTACTGCACCATGTGGGTCACCTCCAGGTCGGGGATCAAACTCATGCTGAAGTGACTTTAGCTTCTTTTTTTTTTTTTTTTTTTTTTAAATTAGCCAATCCATGAAAACCAAAGCTTT